ACGCATGTGCAATTGCAAGCCTTAGCCAAGTAATTCACACACAGAAAATTTGCTTAGCACAGGAAAATATATTGGCTACGGCTTACTTGGCGTACATACGCATATGTGCAATTGCAAGCCTTAGTCAAGTCATTCACACACAGAAAATTTGCTTAGCACAGGAAAATATATTGGCTACGGCTTACTTGGCTACATACGCATGTGCAATTGCAAGCCTTAGCCAAGTAATTCACACAGAAAATTTGCTTAGCACAGAAAATATATTGGCTACGGCTTACTTGGCGTACATACGCATATGTGCAATTGCAAGCCTTAGCCAAGTCATTCACACACAGAAAAATTGCTTAGCACAGAAAATATATTGCTAAGCAGAAACAGGTTACCAACCAAAATCTCATGCGATGTGTATTACATGTGACCAGTTCCCGATCAACTGGTATACATCTGCTTAGCACACTGATTTGCAAAGACATGAAGTCAAGGAGTTTGTTTTAACCTGTACGATCATCAAAAAGCTTTGCATTCCTCTCTGTCTGGTTATGTTTCCCAAGTGATGGCGACCTGCCTGTCTCTGCATTTCTCCCCAGAAACCAGGGCAGTTTACCTTTTTTTTGACAGAGTGGTGGATCAAGTTCCAGTATTTCATATTTTTGTAATCAGTTTATACTTTCACAGGCTAAACTTGCTTTGTTGCATTGGAACCTATAGTTTGACAGCAAAGGCAGACTGGGCTATTACTTTTTATTCAGTGACTCAGTCCGTCAATCATTTTGAAAGTCAGTTAGCGAATCAGTCAGCCAGTCAGTCAGAGGTCAAAAGCCAGGTCCTTCAAGTCCAGCCAAAAAAAACAAAGAAAAATCAAAAAAATAAAATAAATAAAACTGCTTCCTTAAAGTTTTTGGCTCCTAATAAATGTTACATTTTAAAATTCTGAGAGACAAACTAAATAAGATCTCTAAACTCCAGACAGCAGTATCAATACATCAGACAAGGCAAGCTGACAAAAACACAGCAAGTTATCTCCACCATCGATCACAATATTTGGAATAGTGAAGACATTCCACTTTTTTTTTTTTGGCTTTCTTTCTTCGTCCGCCAGCCACGCGACCGTGGTTCTAGATTGACAAACCATGCTGGGACCACCACTCATTGAGGATCATCATCACAGAATACGGGGCATTCCAGAGAGCTCTAGCTATCTGATGCAAGGCCACCGATGGATGGATGGGGAAGGGATGGATTGGGGGAGGAAGGGAGGGGGAATCATGGCTTTCATCGAGGCACGCTAATGCTGAATGGATGGCTTACATACCGGTAGTACTGACATTCCTGGATTTGAGGTTTGAGGGACAGAAGATTCAAGCTTCTTTGAAAGCACTCTATAAATCTGATTGTAATTAAGCTATTTATGTGTACTATATCACTGCTTTCATTATAGGAAGTGCATATATTGAATTTTTCAAAATTTGTGAGACTTAAGTTTTACATGCACCCATATTTACTGGAAATGACAACAAAGAAGAACAAGATCAAGCTGTACCTGGACAAGCATGGTAACATGAAGGGTGACGGGAGGTGCTGTTACCTGAAGGTGAGAAACACTTGACTTGAGCTTATGAGCAGAAACTCGGCTGAGAACCTGGCATTTTGGGGCTGGAAAACTATTTTGCTAAGCGAGTTTTATGCTTAACGGAAATTAAAGGCCCATCAAGCTTTTAACCAAACATATGTAGTTCATCAAATTGTAGCTTTTAAGTCTATTGCAGCAGTCCATCATTTGTATGAGATTGTAAGTTTTAATTAACCCTAACCTACCCTAAGCTTCCAAAATCATCTTTGCAAATTGGAGGATTTTTTTGCAGGATTGAGGCTATAAGGCGAAAATGTTTGGCTGATTTTGGAGGATGCACTGTGTCAAGGCCTTGGGCCGAACCATGTGCTGTTTATGCTCAGCCGTGCATAAATTTAGGCTTAGAATATACTTGAAATCCTCCGCACTGCTCCAGGATGTCACTGGCTCTGCCTCAAGATATTGACAGCGACTGCTGAAGGATTTTGCAGGATTGAGGCAGTGGTCACCCCTCCAAGGACCACGTTCAAGAAATAACGGAGGATTTCGAAGGATTGCGGCTGTATGCAACTTTTACATGGACAGGCAGTTGGAGGATTTTGCAGGATTGAGGTTGCATCCTAGCAAAAATTATTGGGGAGTTAGGGTTAATAATATATGTGCTACAAAAACTAATCAATATGCCAAAGAACCCTCATCCTCAAAATTTAGCAATATTTTACATAATTCAGGGTCCATTGTACACTGCATAAGTCATGTAAGTTGGCCAAAAAGCTTTAAGTTGGACCACCCCTCCACTACACAAAACACAACCATACTTCCAAATACCACAAGCAAGTCTATGGCCTTTCAGCTACCCAAGCATTAGGGAGATTGATGCATAATATGCGTGGTTTCCTGAGCCTACAACCATCAGGCTTAAGGATCTTCTGTTTTTTTCTTCCCTCGTTCAGGATACCTTGCATAGCTGTCGCATTCTCAAGTCCCGCTCGATGGGCGATAATTATTATGGAGTGACTTTTAAGTGGCTGAGTACACATGCTTTAGTTTAGAACGCACAAGGCATTGGATTGTCACACGACATGGAGTTAAAGTTGAGGAGTGGGGAAGAGGGGGTTCGGTTTGGATAAATGGGGAGGGGCCATGGAGAGGAGTGGCCATGGAAGAGGGGAGGGACCAAAGGAGAGGGGTTGGGCCATGGAAGAGGGGAGGGGCCATGGAAGAGGGGTTGGGCCATGGAAAAGGGGAGGGGGCCATGGAAAAGGGGAGGGGGCCATGGAAGAGGGGAGGGGCCATGGAAGAGGGGAGGGGCCATGGAAGATTGGTGCAGCCATGGAAGAGGGGAGGGGCCATAAAAGAGGGGTGCGGCCACAGAAGAGGGGAGGGGCCATGGAGGAGGGGAGGGGCCATGGAAGAGGCCATGGAAGAGGGGAGGGACAATGGAGATAGGGAGGGGCCACTGTAAAGGCTGTTTTAATCACTGAGCTCTGATGCCGAGAAAAAAGAAGTCTCTTCTGTCAGTTGTTTTTCAAATGTGACAAAGAAAATACGGCAAGCCTCCTTAAAAAGAACTGAGCATAAAGTCCCCAAAACTGTGAGTTTTACTCTTGTTTTTATCAGAAGCTGTAACTCACACAAAAGATTAAATGTAATTTTCTTCCACTACAAATGCCACCTATCAAAGAAAAATATTTTATCACGGTCTTTTCTCTTTTTTTAAATATGATTTACACACAATTAAGTTTTTGAAATAATGTACATATAACTTGATATTTAAGCATTTCATATCACAGATTTGGTAAAGTGGAAAGTTTAAAGCAACTGGGGATGAAACACATTTTCCTCCTCTGCAAAAAGTCTCTTCTATACTTGCATTTCAGAAGACTAAATCTGGAATTCCTTGGCCAATATACTTCCGAGCAACAGATGTGCCGAGGACATGCAAGAACAACCCCAGAAGGTGTTGAGACCGGACAAAATTAAAACACAACACCTCCATGACTTCAGGGTGATATTGGAGGTCGAAAGGGAGGGTTTTATGAGCGGCCACAGATTTTCAATCCGACCTTTGAACTTTACTTATTATTCAACAAATGATGCGTGGCCCTAGCCAAACGAGAACAGCTGCTTGGGTAAAACTTTCCAGTTGACAGATTTTTTTTCTCTTTCTTTCTTTCTGTTCAGTGGATTTGGAGTGAGAGAGTTCCCAAATTGGATTTTTTTTTTATAGGAGACCCGGAATTCCAATAAACGGGGGTGAATTGGTGGGCAAATAGCCGGAGGGTCGGGGTAAATAAAATTACAGAGGCATCTCTGGGGCTCCTCACACTTCAGCAGTGTTAGCGTCAGGTCTTCTTGTTGGTCTTTGGTGCTTATGTTGAAGTGTTTGTCAAGTATCAAGGACAGTTATTTTTTGCAGTATTTCCAGAATTTTGATGAAAGACCTGAAAACCTGCTGATGACGTTTAAGTGTTCGCGTCCATGACTAAACAGTGGGGCTCCGATCAAATCCACACCTCCCGTTTAAACTCTGATATCTTACAAAACAAAGTACAACATACACTCAAGGCACTGAACTTGACCTCTGTGAACTTAAGATAATTCAAAACCTAGACAGGGACTCAAAGTATGTATATGTGGCATTCATCGGCGGATCCAGGGGGCCAACGGGGACCATGCCCCCCTCCTCCAAACAATTGGAGTGAAGACACCCCCTTTTTAAATTGTTAGGAAATAAATTAAAACATTGCATATCTCCCTCGCACGCTTTCAGCTACACATACCTTTTAGCTTTAATATTTCAATGTTGAAATAGCGCACAATAGTATACTTAATCCCCTTCCCGCTTTGAAAAAAAAAATACTTGAGCATTCTTGCCCCCCCCCCCCCCAAAAAAACTTGGTTCTTGGTTCAACCACAAGTACAATCAAGAATTTCATGAATTTGCTTGAACACTTTTATTTGTTCTGATCTCTGTAGAAACCGTTTTAAAAGAGAGATTTCATCATTTCTCGGTTAATAACATCTGAAATAACATCTGATCCATGTAATGTTCATAGATACAAGCCAGACTTAAACTATAAACATGTACACATCAATTCATGGATTACAGGCACTGATGCCTAAAGTTACTGCTTTCAGAGTTTTACTGCCAATGCATTCTGCCTAACTATGCACCCTCAGCGCCACTCACTTCTGCCTAACTTTTAGTCATCGGGAAAAGCATGCAGATGATCAAAACAGCGCCCCCATTTGTCAAGATTGAAATAGTCTTCAGCACTGACAATGCTCAAATGGCCATCAACTACAATATGATTGGGTTTTACCAAATTCGCACAACTATTTTTATTGTCCATAAAATCTAAATGTTTATGTCTTTACGCTAATTTCTGCCTCATCTTTTAACAAAAAAAACAAAGAACCGACTTACCTCAAATTCTTCCGGGTGGAACAGATGCTTGATGATGACTACTTGCTCGTTTCTCTTGCGCTGGTGAAACTTCTTCTCTGGTCTCCAGTCTAACAACCTTTTGCCAAAAAGAAAAAGAAAAACCAGAATTTGTGAGAGGGTATCACAATTTTATAATGATTTCATACTCATATCGCATTTTATACAAATGTCTCAAAGCATTTCACAATTATAATAATAATGTGTATTTATAACACGCACGTATCCACCAGTATTGGTGCTCAAGGCGCTTCATCATTATTACCCCTGCTCACTGGGCCAATGAAACATTCCAAAGACAATCTCAGCTCCCTGGGGAGTATACAGCTCGATGCTGCCATGTGGGCCCAAAACAGCTAAAATCAACCATAATAACCATCTCTACCTTCACAGGTATCCATTTATCTTATTATGTAACTGGGTGATTAGAGGCAATTGTAGTAAAGCGTCTTGCCCAAGAACACAAGCTCCATGCTCCCTCCAGGTTTGAGTCAATGTACCTTTTCACATTAGTCGGACACCGTAACAAGTGGTCCATGGATTGTTTTGAATTTCTTACAAACAATCACTGGTTACCCCTGGGATGGGAACCGGGAGCTGAAACTGACGTTCATATTGCCGAGTATGATTCCTCCAACTGACAATTCTACCACATCTTTTTTTTTTTATCAAGATGGCTCCTGCCATGACCGTAATTTGAGCATTGACAGCAGGCCAACTGATAATATCGCATGCTTGATTTCTAAGGACAAATCTTACTTTTCCTGGAAGTTTTTCTTTTTCTTCTTCTTCTTCGGTTTCTTCTTTTTCGGCAGCGGCTTGAAGTCACCTTTCATCTCAAACTTGGCCAGCTCAATGTGGATTTTGTTGCCCCGCAATTCTGACTCGTCCATAATCTGTATTGCCAAGGCAACTGACTCTCTCTATACAAAATATAGCGGACAAAAAAAGAAAAAAGCAAAAAACGAAGTCACACTTGATCTTGTGGAGGTTTTACTGTATTAAAAAAACACACACATTTCTCCCAAGAGTCTTAACCACTTAACGACAGGATTATTTTTGGAAAAAAGACAAAATATATCTGCCAAATTTATTAATCGAGGTAAACATCACAAATACTCACTCTCAGGAGTCATTTCTACAATATTTGTATGATACTTCTCTTCGTAACTTTTTGCAACACTCCGAGAACCTTAATTTAAAAAGTGGAAATTGCTGCGGGACAATGTCACACTGCCCGAAACGAACGGCAGGGAATACCGATCGCACAGTGCTAGAATGCATGGGAGCACGCGGATTGAATAACCAACGCTTTGTTCGGGCACTGTGCAGTCGATAGGGGCCAAGAACGGGCATGTGTGGTTACGCCTAGCAAGTTCTCCTTTCGTACTCTTGAATTTGCAAGTTTTCAAACTGCATCATTTATCATAAACCGTTGTCAATCTCAGACAAACATTTGGTAGCAAACGGGGTATCAACATGTAGCTAACAATATTCCCCAATGGTCTATATGAATGACGTCATCGTAAGACGATCAAATTAAAAATTATGACCCCTCCAATGAGTGTGGACTTTCTTTTATTTGCGGTGTTTACAAATGTTTAAGTATTCTTTCACCAAATAATACTACTTATTGACTTATTTCGTCTCCGAAAATTGGAAAGGTTGGAAAAAAATCTTGACTAAGACACTGTCAAGTGTTTCTCACCTTCAGGTAACAGCACCTCCCGTCACCCTTGATGTTACCGTGATGGTCCAGGTACAGCTTGATCTTGTTCTCCTGTTTCTCCTCGTCAAACATGATGACGCCGCATTTCTGCATCAGCTCTTCAAACTCCTTCGGGGTGATGTCCAAGGGAAGGCCGCTGACGTAGACGTTGGTGTTCTTGGTGTCGTCAATCTCAAACCAACCTGGAAGAGGTTTTTTTTTTGTGAGCGGGGGCTTCAGGAATGAAATATGGTGGAGTCGGTCGCAAGTCATCGTAAGTCAATCTTAAGTCAATCTTAACCCAATCATTAGTCATCACAAATCAATCATACGTCATCGCAAGTCAGTCATAAGTCATCACAAATCAATCATAGGTCATCGCAAGTCAATCATAAGTCATTGCAAGTCCATCATAAGTCATCGCAAGTCAATCATAAGTAATTGCAAGTCAATCATCAGTCATCGTAAGTCAATCATAAGTCATCACAAGTCAATCATAAGTCATCGCAAGTCAATCATAAGTCATCGCAAGTCAATCGTAAGTCACTGCAAGTCAATCGTAAGTCATTGCAAGTCAATCGTAAGTCATTGCAAGTCAATCATAAATCATCGCAAGTCAATCGTAAGTCATTGGAAGTGAAGTTTACTGAAATTGACTGCAGATGCTTTTATTTTACATGGAGCTTGTTGCTCCTTGTTTTAATAATAACAACCCTTCCTCTCTGGCTAGCGATTTCAACAAGGCCAGTCCAGCAGTCAAAATAAATCAAGTGACTGTTTTAAACAGTTGAGTGCTCTCTGCCATCATGAAACTGAATTGACTAGCTGTGACTGTTATGCAATTTGATATAGCTATGCTTTGACTGTAGGAGATTGATAAGCCAGCTGTGCCTACCAGTCACCTGCTTTCGTCTGTTGATGGAATTTGACTGTCACAGTTCCTACAAGAAATATGCAGATGTGCCTACCAGTCACCTGCTTTCGTCTGTTGATGGAATTTGACTGTTACAGTGCCTACAAGAAAGTGATCTGACTGTTGGTGACTAGCCTATGTACAAGGCTTGGAAGGGGAACAGAATTGAATTTTTGACTGTCTGTGACTGATCAAACAAGAGGAGGGTTAATAGGAATACAAAGAATATGCAATTTGTTTCCAGCTAATCGTTTGGAGGATTTAGTAAAGTTTCCTGTAAATTATTCCAAGAGAATTGCGTTTACAAGTCTACCTTCGTCTGCTTTCCTCTTCTGGGCTCCCTTGGCTTTTTGTCCCTCCCCTGCCTCCTTCTTTTGTTCTTGCTCTTCCGCCTTCTTTGCCCCCTCCGGATTTTCATCCTCCTCATCATCATCGTCTTCTTCATCATCATCTTCTTCACTGTCAGAGTTCTCTAGCTTTGGCTGTTCCGCTGCCAGCTGGGCCGCATACTGCTCGTAGTAGGTTTTCACACTCTCCTCGTCTGTGTTGACGCCATAGTTGGCTTGGTAGGCGGCAAGAAAATCTTCATCAACCTGGGGATATCAAAACAGGAATAAGAAACAGCAAATTACATCAATTCTTCACTGTAATGGTCAAAGAGATTATAGACTAGGAGTTTTGGATCATTTCTCTGAATCATTAATTAGATATCGTGACTAAGTGGCTCCGTCACGGACATTACACTTCCTTCCATAATGTAGGAATTACCCATGCATAGCTTTCAAAAAGCAAAATAAATGTTGAGCTTTCACACATACATTGTTCCGTAACTTTGTAGGCACTTGCGGTACAAACTTGTACAGGAGACAATCGCTGTCATTTGGACAAATATGGTGAATGGTCAGTAAATGACTGAAGTCCAATATTCATTTTGCCTTCTGCCAATCTGCAAGATTTTCGCTGGACTCGAAGGGCAAGTCCAATGTCCTCAGACTGAGTCACTCTTTAACCCTTACCGCCCTGAATTTGTCAAAATCCTCTTCGCCAAAGTGGACAAATTTGGAGGATTGAGGCTACATGGCAAAAGTGCGTCACTGATTTCGTAGGATGCACTTTGTCAAGGTCTTGGGCCAGACCTTGCGTTGTTTTTACTCAGCCATGCATAAATATAGGCCTGGATTATGCTTGAAATCCTCCGTACTGCCCCAGGATGTCACTGGCCAAGCCTCAACATATTGACAGTCACTGCCGCAGGATTTTGCAGGATTCAGGCAGTGGTCACCCCTCCACGGACCATATTCAACAAATGTAACAGAGGATTTTGCAGGATTGAGGCTACATCCTAGCAAAAAGGCCTAGGGAGATTTATTGACTTACCAAGTGTGTAAACACTTCAATCAAGGACCCCCTATTGTCCCTCTTTCATACTCTAACTTTTTAGGAAGACCTCCCATATGCTTTGTACACGATCAGAGATTGTGGACCTTTGGGACTGTGGACCCTATTGTCCTCTATTGTTCAACGTCCCCTATTGAATGCATAAACTTACTGACTCACTGTACACATATAAACTCTAAAACTGAGACTATCCGGTCCAGTTTGTCTGGGCAAGCTTTGTTTTTGGGTTGTTTTCTTACCTTTGGGAACCAAGCCTGTTTCTCTGTGTCCCATTCATAGACGGTGCCATCGTTGGGGTCAGTGTAGGTGTATCCCTGGTCCTGTTTGTACTGCTCTTCTTTTTCTAGCTGGAGCTGTCTCTCAAACTCTTCCGCGTCTTCGGCCATCCTTAGCTCTCTGACCTTGTTAGGGATGTTTTATACCGTCGATCTGCTTCTTATATGGAAGGGTACAACAAAAGCATCACAGCTGTGATAATGGCAAACTTCATGACCTTTGTTCTCAATTTAACAAGGACGAGTCAATCTTACAAACAAACAAAAAATCGTATAGGAAAGAATGTAGTATATCCTGCCACCACTTGTGTGGTTCTGTACAAAGTAAATGTGGCAATTACAGATCCAGCGAGGTTACTGTTGAGGAGGGGGGGGGGGGGGGGGGGGGGGTTGCAGGAGGGCACAAGGGTCTTCTCAAGTGAACAATTGCCTTATTTGAGAACATTTCGGCCACTGTCAGGGGGGGGGGGGGGCACCCCTTCACACCCCCTGAATCCGTTACTGTGTGGAGTCGTGAAAAGTATTTTATAACAAAAACAAAAATGTTTCTCAGTGCAAAATAGTTGCAATGACTGACCATCACAGGGAATTCTGCCCACCATCCAAGTTTTGCACGTATGTTTTGACTTAAATTTTTACTCCCGAGTTTAACTTTTAAGACCAAACGTATAGCTATAGGCCTACATGATGATTTACTACTACTACTACTGGTATTTTTTAGTAACTAAAAAAATATCATAGACGGTTATATAATGTACAAAAACTTGCACCAGGATACTACCTTCTTGAAAGATGCATGCTGGTTCATTCAATGTTTGTCAAAACATTGTCAAAATAGCACAACAAAGTCAACATACACCTGTACACTGAACAACACTGCACTCTGCAGACTCAGTTCACAAATACAAATGCACAAGATATCTTGTTAAAACATGTTATGTGAAAACTAAACACACATTTTGACCGATACACTACAACCATAATCTGGATTCTAAATTGCATAACATAATCAACAAAAGGGAGATAAAACGTGAAATTATTAATATTTACCGCTTTTCAAAATTGTATCATACCACTGTACCACAGCATTGATCTTGTCTCAGTCTCAGCCCCTGCAGTGTACAAGCATACCATTTCAACTTGTGCACCAGACTGACCACAAAAATAATGAAGTGCGCCCTCAAAGTCGGATCCTAAATTTCAGCAGCAATTAAAATGAATAATCCTAAATCACAAAAAGCAACAAAATCTATCATAATCTTAAAAAAGATTGAAAACGTTTCACACATATCACTTGATCCCTACCATGAAGCCGTTGTGAACATTGTGTATTGTTTTAAAGCCACCATCCCTCCCCTTTTTAAAGCCGATGAAAAGAAGTTTATACATGGAGGAATAATTCTTCCACGATGTTTAACGGGGTATGGCATTTTGAAGAATTAGACATTAAAGACTTCCTTTTTTGCAAAGTTTTTAAAATTCAAGCGCATTTAATTGCAAGTTGACCACGCCCACCCCATCCTCATTCTCATCCAACGGTCCAAAAACGACTCGGTGTTTAACCTTTTTGATTTGGAGTGATGCACCGATTTCTTGCTCCATGCACCCCTCCCCTTTCAGGAAAAGACACCTGCCTCCGTGTCTCTCCTCTCCTTTATCATCTGAAACAGGTGGCGTCATCTGCAAGATGGATCCGCATCTTCCTCCCTCTGTTTTGCCTTGCATCAACCCAACAGGCAAGGAGGAGGTACGGGCATCCGGGATTTTTTTTATTTACGAGATATGGAGTGCAAAAAGTGCAAAAACAATTTCACGATAAGCTTTTCGATGCAACAGGACAGTAAAATGTGAAAGTTTCGTCACAAGGTCATGACCTATGACACCATTTTCCTTCATTTTTTTTTGACAAACCACATTACAAAAATCACACCGAGCCTTAATCTGTTAAGATTGTAACTTCTAACATTGCCAGGACAATGTCAGGAATTTTCCGAGAGCTAAGGAAATTGGTACTGGTTTATCATGGGGCAAAAGCTTACGTATGTTCTATCATTATTAATTCCAAAAGACTTTTTGAGTTGGGATGAAACTAAACAAACACCTACAAACAATGAATGTTTTTACTTGCAGTAATATTGTTCTGTAGATATATTCCAACAATGCATGCGCACATCATCATGTGTATGATTTGACATTTGCTTCAGTATAAACAATCCATCACATGCATCAAATAAACTGAGGAAAAAAAATGTGTCTAAAATATGAAAGTGTTAAATTCGAAAAACTTTTGACTGCAAGTGCAACATGTTCTACAGTATTTTCTTATGCAATGCGCCTATCAATTGTTTTTTCATTGCATGATCACAGATTTGGTAAAAATCACACTTCAAGAATTGTGTGCATTTACATCTTGTATTTATCGCAAATAAGTGAGAAAAAAAATTGTCCATTTCGAAGCAAAATCTTATACAAATGAAATATATTGAAGTGACTTGTTAACATTAGGGATGGAATTTACAGAAGTGTAAACTGAAACATTTTGCGCTCCATACACACTGCACCAATAATGCAAAACAGCGCCTCGCATATCGACGTCTGCATGCATTGCACACTGTACGCTACATGTATATGCACGGTGCATTATAAATCCCATAGACCCAAATACACACGGCGAAATGACAGCAGCGGCCGATGCAAGGGGCCTGGCTTCCGAAAAATAACAATGTTGACCATGGAAAATACCGAGATTTCCTGAGGATTGTTCCCAACTCCCCGAACCCCCGAAGGGCCACAGGGTTGAGGTGTGCAGCATGAAGCGTTTCCCCTTCAAAAAGGTGCTGGATGGGTTGACTTCGGGGTCGTCGAATTCGTCGCCGAAAGGAGAGACCGAAATCGCCGAGACACTAAACTCTGATCATTTCACCGTATGCAAGGTGGGTGCGCGCCCCGGTTGTTACTGCAGCGTTGACCCGTCCCTATTTTCACAGCCCATCGAGGGTTCTTAAAAAACAGAGCCTCTGTTTTTGCAACAGATGTGCAGCTATTTCGGACCTTTGCAGTGCATTCCACACCCCATTTCAAGCCTGAAGTGTTTCTAGGCTGAAATCCATCTTGATTTTGTCTTGAAATAAAATGATTTTTTTTCCATCCCAATTTTTTTTTCTTCCAAACAGGTTGTCCGCCATGGATTTCCATTCGAGCCCACGTCGATGGCCTACGACCCGGTGCAAAATATCCTGGCTGTCGGCACGAAAAACGGCTCTTTACGAATGTATCCTTTTTCAACCCAGCCTAAACTTGAACTTTCCCCTCATTTTGTTGATGACTGTGGTAAAAATCATCAATTTTTCTCCCATTCAAATGTGTCTGGTTGCATTGCAGATTACAATTACAAACTATAAGTGACCTCAAGGTCATTTTCATAAATTTGCAAATAAATGACAGTAATTTAATTCATATTTAGTTGAAGGTTGTGACTTATCCTGCAGTGAATTATACAATTAATGATGATTTTTGTTTAAATTTTATACAGCGCAGAATTTTCCCTGTAAAATCATGGTTTTTTTTTTTTTTTTAATTTCTGCCCAAAATAATTAACATTTGTTTCATGTTTGTCCCCCTTTGACATTGAATGTAACCCATGTTCATAAATTTTAATTTCTTTGCCCTGATACAGTTTAATCTCGGTATTGTTCATGGTTACTACATAAATTGATATCCATATATGAAACCATATCTATATAACTTAGACAGATCACAATAGCTCAGTATAAACCTTTTTTTTTTAAAGAAAAACTTGATTGTTAACAACTTATAACCAAATATCAAACTGCACTTTTTAAATTTCTATTAGACATACATGTATTCTGTTCTGTCAAACCACGGAGCTATAGTTCCATGGTCAAATACATTTTCATATCTTACACATTGTGCATGCATGCAAACTTCCTGTAAATATATGTCACAAGCCTGTTTTTTAACATAGTTTACCAATATGAACACATGTACACAGTAATGTTCATAGTGTCGTACAAATTTCATGAATATCTTTTACATAAATCACTGAAAGGGGGGGGGGGGGGTGGGGGGGGGGTGGAGGGATGGCAAATTTTAAAAGATATATGTGCATGTGTACATGTACTCAACTTCCACATAAGCTTATCACAATAATAGCATCAACCCATCCCACATACTGTACTTGTTCAGTACATAGGCAGTTTTTGATAATTTTGTTGAATTCATGGACAAACTGCTAGTGGCTTTGATCTGTTGCCTATTTATTTCACAGTCAGACCTTGACCCCTTAAATCATTTGTAATGTCTGAGGAAGTTGTTCAGCTTGTTCAAGTGGGTCATGTGCTTGTGATTGCTCTTTTGTGAATGGACAGAGAAAACCCATTCAACCATTGGTACCAAACGTACACACACACTGGACTAAAATGCCAGACTTGCTTTTCCATTAACCTGTAACATTTACGCATTGAGGGGGTTGGGTCCGGTGCATGCAGGTAGGCCTACTTCACAACCTAGACTGGTTCACCTGTCTCATGAAGGGAGGGCATCTTATAAATTCAATTGCTTCATTGACCTGACGTAAATGACACCGTAGTTTAATTTTCAGTGATTGTTTGTTGTCATCATATACCTGTGCAGTTCCAAGCAAATTTTCAGAATTGGAAAAAAAAGAGTCAAATATGATCAAAAAGCAACTTGGGTAAATTGAATTTCAGATCATCTTTTCCCGGCGATCATACAGAAAATAGACACTAACTACACTGGATAATGGGACTGCACCATACAATGTACAAAATCTAAATTTAGACTCATTACAGTAGCAGCGTTGAGTCAACTTTCCTTGAAATTTGTATTGTTTCAGCAAAACCTTAGGTGCTGTGGTGATGATACACGTACAATCACGTTCTTGAATTTGTGTATAAATGTACATGACATGTACGTCTGTTGGTACAGAAATCATGTTCTCTTGGACATGTATGTTCCCAGACAGGGCTCTGGAGTGCTCTGAAACATGCAAAACTAAATCAGGCCCACTTTACTCACAGTTTAGCCAGCAAATTTCTCCAGAAATTCCACTGGGGCAAAGAAAATGTCCTCAGTATTTCACCAACCAAGTTTGCAGGCTCAATTCCATTTTTAATTAAAGGAGACTTTTCTTCAATATTTTGCACATGAGAGGGAAGTCAAGTGATTTCAATATCGGGCTAAATACTAGACTGGTGCATGTCCATCCATGGTCCAACTATTTGAAAAGACTGACATCTTCATTCAGTGTCCATAGTCTGGTGGCTTGACTATGAAGAAATGTGTAGTAAATTGAGACTAGTTCCCGCTTCATGCCACATGTTTCTTAAATTCTTTTGGCATGGTTGGCTGATGCAGTACTGAAGCTGTGTTGGACTGGTTGTTTTAGGTGCCAGTCTATTTTCTTGTTTTGCATGTTTTCAATACCTTAAGTTTTGGGACTCTCATAGTACACAGTATTGAGAGTCCCAAATTTTCGGACTTGTATACATGCACATGTTGAGAGTTCCACATCTACGAACTGTCTTCAATGCCAAGCCCCAAATCTTCAAGCACTCCACATGACATGACGTAAAACACTCAAGAACCATGTACTGACTGTAGACCATGTACCATGAGACACAGTCTCAAGTGCTTAAATCCAGTGATAACCACCACTTTCTGAGGTCAAGTATTTGCCTCTTCAGATTTTAAACCCTCCATTACGAGATTTTTTTTTAGTTCAAAGTCTAGTCACCAAATAATACACTGTCCATAAGTCCATGTATGAGTACTTTAACCGTACAGTATGGTCCTGATCAATACAATGTATGCTGTTTAAAGATGTACTGCCCATGTTTTCAAGAAATTAGATTTTTTTCTCCACAAATTTTCCAACTTTGAATAAAAACAAATATAATTTTTTTTTTATGCATAAAGATCTGCGATTCTCTGAAAAAGAGTTTTCATTCATTCATTTAGGTTTTATTGTTAAAAAGATGATGACTGAAGAAAAAGTCCAAGGACTAAAAATATTTGGTTTACAGTAAAAATTAATATTTACAATGATTGCTAAGAATTATATGTATGTAAACAGTAAAGCTTGAACAAACAAAAACAATAACAGTGACTAACATT